CTTCTTATTTTTAAAAAATTGGACAATGCTGAAGTACTCTACTCGTTCATAGGTGTTAATAAACGATTTAATAAACTTGTACATGATTCAATTTTTACAAATCGTTTAACAATGACAAAATGTTCTTCTAATGGTTCATTTGATCGATTAGATAAACAAATACTTGATCGATTTTGTTTACAAATTTTACCTGAAATTCATTATAAAATCAAATGATTGGATGTTGAATCCTCGTCTATCGAAAATGTTCTTCTTTGTACAAGTTATTCCAATTTATGTGGACTTCGTATACATAATATCGAGAAGGACACTGTATTATGTATCTTTACTGGTGAGAAATTTTCCTTTCAATTTTTTCTCAATCATTAATATTTCAAAAACATAGATAAATAAATAGAATTATTTATTTGTAAAAAGGATTCTTTATACAATTGTGTCATAGGACATTTTTTTTCTATATCAACAGTAACAGCAAAAATGTCATTGGAAATCAATGTGTTCAGATAGAGAAAACTAATATTTACTTTAGAAAGAAAGAGAAAGACTAAAATAGATACGACAATTTGGTCCATATATTTAAAATGTTTCATTGTTGATTTTATATTTATTTTTAGACGAAATTCCTTTAACTCGCATATTTCAGGATAAAATTTCATCGCTTGTTATTGATGTTGTTCAATATAAAACAGAGATGAGCACAGGACAACTTTTTCTGTCCTGTCCTGTCCTGTCCTGTAGCCAACCTTTGTCCTGTTGAGCGGCAGGACAGAACGAAAAATGATTTATCCTCCTGTCCTGCCCTGTCCTGCAGCCAACCTTTGTCCTGTTGAGCGGCAGGACAGGACGAAAAATGCCTTGCCATCCTGTCCTGTGCGGCAGGACAGGACAGGGCAGGACAGGACACTAAGCAGGACAAACACGACATCTTCTTTAATTTTCGATTAAATGAAGCATATACTAAACGTTTGAGCCATCTTATAACCAATCTATTTTATTATTTCTTCAAGCATCACAATATCACTCTTGAAGAAAACTTAACTCAATAAATACAAACAAATAAACATAATAAATTATTTTCCAATAACACACATATCATAGAAAAAAATACACATAGAACAAAATACAAAAGTATGATATTACATCATCAATATTATTTTCACCCAGTGAATAATATCCTGTTAGCACATAAGTTTTACACAATTTTTTTGTTGTTTAGGCGAATTTTGGACTTTATCTCTTTCCAATTAGAAGATATAAAGTCTAAAATTCGCCTAAACAACAAAAAAAAATGTGTAGAACTTATGTGCCAACGGGATATCAGCAATAATAACAAAAAAAATAATATAACGACAAGGGGTTTTTTCAATAGTGCCATAAGTGTTATTAATATGAAAAAACATAACGAGCAAAAAAAATGAAACAAACTTAAAAAAGTTTTTCATACTTTTGCATCGATCGTACAAGAAGAATATTGTCCAACTGTTCAGGATTAAGATTAGTGCGTCTTTCCTGTATAACTAATCCAGCTCCTGAAAATTCTCTTTCAACTGCTGCACTTGTAGCTGGTATTGAAAAAATTGAACGAGCGAAACGAGATAAACGGGGAAATTTTTCTTGTTGATCCTTCCAAAAAATTAATGGGTTTGATGGTAGCTTAGATTTGTCAAGTTCAAAATTCAAATATATATCAAGTTCATCCTTTTTTTTGTCATCAAAAGAATATTCTTCACTGTCATTAGTCGATTCTTTTTCAATTTCTTGTTGAGCATCAAAACCATCAGATTCGAATCGATGAAACAAATCACCTTTAAATTTTTTTCTCACTGATTCATTTGTTTGTTGTTCATTCGATTCATTTGGTTCAATTGAAATCAGTTGTATTTGTTGTCGAACATAAGTATAACATTCAGAACGTTCGGTTGCCGAACAAGCTTTTAATGATCGATATTTGGGGTGGAGTAAAGTGGCGGCGTAATGCCTAATATCAAGAACGAACATTTCATTTAATACACCTCGTATTCGGTTCCAAAAGAAGGTTATACCTAGAAGGTCAAAATAATCGTCTTGACATAGAATTTCTTTTGGTATCTTTACCTTCTAATTCATCTAATATATCTTCATCAGTTTCATCAACATCTTCTTTTGATTCATCACCACCATGAACTTTATCATAATCCAACAACGATTGATAAGAACTCATAACATCTTTTAACGTTTGAAAACACAATAACACCATATATAATGATGGTGAATTACCAGTTTGAATTAATTTTATAACATCTCTAAATGGTTTTAATAATAATAATATTTGTTTAATTGTCTTTTCGTCGATGTTCATAATAAGTTTATGTTGTTGCTTGTAAATTAAAATTTTTTTTATGATTTTAAACGATTTTAATATTGACTGTAATGAATCAATAATTGATATCCATCGAATATCAATAGCTTGATGAACTGTTGTTCCCCCTAAGTTTTCGATGTCCTTATTTGATCCACTCTAGAATAAATTTAAAAAAATTGTCTTTTTATATTATTGATGATAATTTTAAATTATCTACCTGTTTAATAAATTTGACCATCTTTTTACATTGTTTTATTGTTAAAAGAATAGTCTTTGCTGCACGAGGAATATCTTCAACTGGTTTTTTACTCAATAATGGTTCTTTATCATTTGTTTTTCTTTTTCGTACCATCGGCAAGGATGGTAATACATCTTCTTCATCATCTCCAGATTCTTCTTCACTTGAAAGACCATCATTAAAACTTGATACAGCATCTTTATGTGCCTGTGGTAAAGTGTTATTGTTTGATGAAATAGAAATGTCAATTGTTAAAATTGGATCTGTTGTTTTTTTCTTCTTTTTTGCATTTTGAAAAAAAGATGTTTTGATAATGTTGTTCAGACGATGTCCGAAACAAAATATTGGATTATAATATCGAAAACCCTTGACGAAATTCGAACCCCTATCCGACAAGATATTGACCATATTTAAATCACCGATACCGAATTCATGTAAATGTGTCTCAAGAACCTGGAATTAATTTAAAGACATAAAATTAAAATAGTACATAAATGACCATATTGTCAGAAACTTGAAAACACATTTAAGACAAAGAACTTGGTCTTTCTTTAAGTGAAATTCATTAGTACGTAATAAAAACGTCTATCCATTAGAAATTTTTATGGCATTCAGAAAAGTGTAACAATTGTTTTATAAAAGAAAATTTATTTTCGATGGACATCGATTTCGAAACAAAAATCTAGTGTTTTAATGTATATACATTGAATTTTGAAAGAGCTCACTTACTTTCACGATTAAATCACCTGATTTTACACCCATAAAAGGCCGACAAAAAAGATCAATGGAGAAAAACTGATAGTGTGCATCGACGTTCGTGAGATTTAATCCTAAGTAAGAAATATTTTTGTACGTGTCTGTCCAAAAATCAGGACATATTGTAATAGCACGGTACTTAAGTGGTTCAATTAATTTTTGTTTCATATGTTCTCTATATGTAGCAGCTATATCATTAATACTACGTGCTATTGTATGACGACTTCTTAATATTTCATTAACATCAATCATTCCGTATTTATGTCCTAAAAAAATAAAGTATTGTTGCTTCTGACTAAATTAACATAAATAAATATACCAATACGGATAAGTTCTTGAGCAACAGCTCGAAAACCAGAATCATCTAACATGGAAAAAGGACGTAGGTCCATGCATACCCATTGTGCACATAATGTTTTCATATTATTAGTATCTGTTTCACTTAATTTTAACGATGTTCTGAATCCATGTTGAGGAAGAGTAGATTGTATTGATGATGCAGTATCAATAGAGTGATCAATTAAAATAGAAGAAGATGATGATGAAATGTTCGATTGATCAATATTTATAGAAGACGATGATGAAGAAGATGATAAAGAAATAATTCTAGCACATTTATTTTGATGTTCTCTTAGACGTGTTGTACCACTTTTAGCTGAATAAATAAACGTTTGATAACATTTAAAGCAGCTAACATATCCAAATATTCGCTGATATTTAGCATTTTCATCTGATTTTGCAGGATAACCAAAAGAACTCCACCAAGATGGTAATGATGATGATGATGCTGTTGATGATTTTTTTTTAATAACTGTATATTTTGTACTTTCTGTCTGAAGTAAAAGCTTGATTTTTTCTGAATTAAGAGAATCTTTACGTGGAGAAGATATATCGACCAATTCCATATATTATCTTGTTGCGAATGTGGCAAAAATTAAAGAAAAAGAATGTAAAATGGAATATCAATACGAGTACGAATATTAAAGAATAACAAACAGTCGATAAGTATTGTTTATGTATGTTTATATTATGTGTATTATTTATGATCGTGATTTGACATTCTTATTGACCAATATCAAAACTAGCTCAGTTTATCATTAGAATAGTGACATCTATCACTTATAGTGAGTATCAGATAAAGATGAACATAGGACAACTTTTTCTGTCCTGTCCTGTCCTGTCCTGCAGTCAACCTTCGTCATGCTGAGCGGCAGGACAGAACGAAAAACGATTTATCCTCCTGTCCTGTCCTGTCCTGCAGTCAACCTCCGTCCTGTTGAGCGGCAGGACAGGACGAAAAATGGCGTACCCTCCTGTCCTGCCGCACAGGACAGGACAGGACACAGGACGGCCGCACCGTCCTGTCCTGTGCTCATCTCTGAATAGTTATGAAAATGGTCGAGATATTTATTCAGCATTTTATACTAAAATAATTTTAGCACTATTGAATTTCTAGAAGTTTAATTTTGTATACACATTATTATTGTTTGAATATAGATGTACATTCACAGATTCTATTGTATTTCACCTAGTGTTTGATTATATATAATCTTGTTGTGTATTCATATTCATTTATTTTTATTTATTAACAAAAAAAATGATAAACTTATTTTTAGCTGAAAAATCAATATCTCCGTAAACAATGAATTATAATATTCAATATTGAAAATAGATAGAGTTAATGTACTGAGTAAAACAGTTATTTCTGATTATCAAACTAGGAAAAATAAACATATCTGTAATGTTTTTGTTTGAAACTTTCAATTTCAAGTGTGACGTGATAAAAGGGTTGATCTTCATCTGTACAAAAACATTCATAATGATAATAAAAAGCACTTATCTCAATTACTTGGTTTAAGAAAATTTTCTGAAAGAGAGGATGCAATTTTTGAATATCTTCTTCAAAACTTTTTTCATTTTGTATTATTTGTTGTTCATCCCATTTGAACTGACTAGAAAAAACAGTTAGTTTAGGCACAGACTTGAAAAGAATCGTTGCAAGCTCATTCAGTTCAACTGGAACCATACTAAGAACTGAAAGGTTGAGCGTTGTCACATTGGGAGTATGAGATAGAATAACAGCAAGTGAAGAGAAACACCGGCACTTTAGTTGAAGATACTTCAAATTTGAGTGCAGATGAATTGGAAGAGAAGAAACTTGCATAATATGAAAATCAACATATCTCATATTTTCGAACCATCGTAGGCCAGAACATATATTGAAAAGATGTTGGCAATCTTGTACCTTATGAACATGCAATCGAAGTTTACGAATAGAAGGTGATCCAGACCATGTATCTTTTAATGTTATACTAAAATGTTCGGCTGAGAATTCTTGAAGACGTTGAAAACCATTTGAGAATACAATATCCAGTAAATTGTTGACAGCTTCATTGTACCCTTGAGGAACATTTAAAAAGACAAGTTAGAAGTTTTTACTCGATTCTTTTTTCTTTCCAAACAGAACATCTCGAAATTCTAAAGTTAATGATTACCATCGATTTCTAAAAAGTAATGCTGTTCTCAGGTATATTGATTAGATTAACATCTGTAAATTCTAATTGGTCTAGATTTTATCAGACATAATTCTGTGAAAACAACGATTTTTAAGAGAGTAATTCGATTAGATCCGATGTCTTCTATCAAAATTCGAATAAAATAAACAAAGAGAGAGTATGCCTTACGAGTGATATCAAGTTCATTGGTAAGTTGGTAGATTTTTGTTCTCTCTGAATCAAATCTAATTCGCATTGAGGTTTTTTTTTCTATATATCTCTAGACTAATGACCAGTAACATATCAAACAAAAATTATGAAATTAATAATCATCTTTCTCTTACTTTCAAGATCACGACCTGAGATAGTTAGTCGTCCCAACATAGGAAAATGATGTGAACGAATACTGTTCATTTGCTTTTGACTTGGATTTTGTAGATGAAGTGAGCGTAGATTGATTAATGATGTGAAATCAACGTTGTTATCTTTCATAACAAGATTAATGATTCGAGAAGGATAGTTTTGTAAGATAGTGATATCATTAACGACATTAACTCTTACTGTAAGTTTCAAATTTGTCATTGACTGGATAATCGAGTCGATGTAATAATTGAGTCCCGAGAAGGCCGAAATAACATGTTGCGGTGTAAGTAAATTGAATATTTGTTCAATCAATTCGACCGGCAAATGTTCGAATAAAGTAGGTGAGTATTCGCCACACATAACAATGACTATTTTTAATAAAATGACACTACTTTTTCTTCCAACGTACTCTACGAGATGATATCTTATGACAAATAAATGATTATTCAGGTGAAGAATAATGTCATATGTATGACGTCAGAAAGAAAAAAAAAGCAGAAAACTTTCTATTGCTTGTAATTGCATCATAAAAAGTAGTCATCTTTTGCATTAGCAACGTATTGCGTCTTCATGATAATGGATACTAATATCGGTGTCCGCGAAAAGTAGAATTGCGCTTTCGTCTAACTGTACACTTACTCACATCTACCCTTTTCGAGAAGGATACTGAAACTTATTAATAGAAAACGAAAACAATATGTGTCATACAGTTTTTTATGTATATCTTGGTTCGAATTTGTCATAATTGCACCATGTCTTTAACCCTTTGACCGTCGCCCCCGTTTATAAACGTCATAGACTTTATGAGTGTCTAAACCTAGTGTAATCAATCGTAGTGAATGCTGTTTATAGCAGGTTGCATAGAAATAAGCACCAGACAGCTGTAGCCTGTGATACCATCATTTCATAATGGTATGTTCTAGAATCGTGACCTAAAATCAAACATGAACAGCTATAATAATTTTCTAAAGTACTCTTTTCTCTCTCTTATGTCGGCGGTCAAAGGGTTAATGCTGTGATCATCATCAAAATTTCTAAATATAATATCTCATCCATCTGCAGTATAGAATCGGATCTATTCAATAGATATTGATATCTGTGAACGAAATCCGATACTATTCATTGACAAATAGTGTCAACAATGTTTCTCTATTATTATTTCTCATTATTAATACTATTAAGGTCGGCTGGCAATAGTAAAATTAACGTTGGGTACTGTTTTAAAGCTTTTATGTGCAGCTCAATTTTTAATAAAGAGTTTCATCTTCTAATTGACGCACAAAGGTTTATGATAACAGTTACCATTCGAAGAGCACTTCAATATGTCAAAGTATTGGTAAGAAGAAAAGTTGTAATCAGTGCTTGAGTTCATAGTTTTACACTGATTGTTTAGCTCGAATCAGATGTAACACACCTTAATAAATCTAGTCTAAAGTGTCATAAGAGCTAATCATATGCTTCTATTTCGTTCTTGACACCTTTCTGAGTAAAACACTAGCATTCTTATTTCTATTTACTCATATGAGGGTATGGGTGTGGATGTGGATGTGCGTGTGGGTGTTGGTGCCGGTCTGGATCTGGATCTGGGTCTGAGTGTCTTGTCTTCGGTCACACCCACATCCACACACCCACACCCACATCCACACACCCACACCCACACCCACACCCGCACCCGCACACCACCCAAATGTTTTATAAATCAAAATAACTACTTCTATTCTGTTAATGTAGCTCATTGAAAACTAAAATGAATTTAAAAAACAGTTTAAATAAATGAACATCGATCGGTACTTATAATCGAGATCATTTAATACTTTACTTGTAGGATAGAACTCTTTTAGAGTGTTTCAAACTAGGCTGTTGTCATATAATAATGAAAGAAGATTCGTGCAACGAATGAGACTTCATCATTAGTCTATGTTAAAACATATAAGAAAGCTTTTAACAGCAGCGTAAATAAAGAAAAAAGACAAGTTATTTAGTTTTTATTGTCATCTTACGACGTTTCGATAAATATATTATCATTATCAAGTAAAAAGGAGATTGCTTACAGAAGAATAATATATAGACACTACATGAACTTCTTGGATGTGGGTGTGGATGTGGGTATGAGCGCGGAATGTGGGCGTGGATCACGATAAGACCAAGAGCCACACGCACACCCCATACCCGGACCCTCTCACACCCTATCAACTATATCTGCATCATATTCTAACCATAATATACTGAAAGGTACATAATCGATATTATGAGATAGATACGTAAGGAATGATAGTGCAAATATGATAGATATACGAAATAGGCAGATGTTTTCATTGTGTGCTTACATGGCGACCAAAGCTGGTGCAAGATCTTATGTGAATGTGCTGCCACTCTCGTCAGTGTGTACATGCAACTAACACTGAAAGAAGTTTCGTATTTATTGTATTGCTTTCACGAGAAATTTCTTTTGTCCAGCTATCGATTTGCGGAAAGCCATTCGTTTTTCTGGAAATTTGTGTAAGGTGTCATTCGATTTGACCAGTGATGATGAACTAAATCTTGCACTACTTAGCTGTAACAATTCCCGTATTTGAATAGCTATTAGAGATAAAACTGGAGTTTTTCAATTCATTAGAAATTTCAAGTTTCTAAAATGTCAAGATGTCTAATATCAGCCTAAGGCATCAATTATGGTAAAATCAGAGAGATGGTAGCAGAGTTCATATCCTTATTGTCTAGCACTAATCGTACGTGATATAAAGAGTCTTTTAATTTTATCAATAAAAATATTTGAAGTTTAAGTTAGTTTCATTTAATGGAGTACTACAGAGGATTCAATGATCGATGAGAAGGTGTATTTTCAGTCTGTCTACTTGAATATTCTTAATTCTTCGCTTTTTCTACTCTCCAATATCGCCATACGCGTGTGTGTAATTGAATCGTTTTCTCCATAATCAAATGAAGAAAAATAGAATGATCATCTTATTGAAGTGAGTTATGATTCTCCAATGTTACATCTAGTTTCACTAGAAACTTCTCTAGTGTAGGGTAGGTGTAGGCATCGC